GCAGGATCATTAAGAATCTCTGATGCTAACGACATGGTAACAGTTTGAATTAGAAAATTCTTTTCGAATGAACACAAATGTAAGTCTCAACACTGTGTTACATTACACTTATTTGCACGAATCTTTGCGACGCCTCTTATATTACGTCCGTTCACCTTGCAACGTAAGAGGTGCATTTATAGTCTAATACTTTTTACTTGCAGTACGCTATAAAAAATATAACAACCAACGCGGGGTGATTGTAAAGTTTTGATTGCGTGACTTTATTTTAAAATATTTCGTTGAATTGTTATACAATATTTCAGCCGACCCTTCCAATTACTGTGTTCGGTTTATTTATTTAAACATGTCTCTACGTTTAGTCTTCTTATTCTTCACTAATTATAACGCTGTTCTTAGATCGGATATGCGTATATTGCTAACGTAAAAATAATCATAAGTGGAGTACTCAACTTGTTCTTCAGGAGTGATTTCCGCGCTAGCATAGCTAAATATCGTATTAACGATTAAAGAGATTAGTGAGTTTAAAGTTTTGATGACTTTAGATCATCTGATATAACATAATAATATATCTCTAGCTTATGAAATGTTGTGTTTTTATGAGATAAGTTATTTGTATTTGCTGCAATTAGTTACTCTCACACTTAGTGAAGAGTTAATACCTTGCTAGGGAAGAGTGTAAAGAATTCGATGCGACGTCGAACGGATAGGCATAATTCTACACTCATCAGATTAACCTTCCCTTAATCTTGGAATATTCGTCTACACATGTAGTTATTGTGGCGAGTCGTATGCATTGCGTCTAATAATTATGAGAAAAATCTTCATGTTAGCCCAATATCGGCTTTTTTTTTGTTACTGTTGATTAACAGTCTTATTGTGTCTTTCTGAGTATGGATGCTCTTTATTTTTTGTCCACGGTCAATTATTAATCCATCGCCTAACTGTCACGTTGGAAAGCAAGTGAAAATAAAAATCTGCAATTTTTATTGGTGACTAAAACCATTGTTCTGATGTCTAGTTTTCAAACCAATAAGGAAATTGTAACAATTCGGATAATTTTTGATTCCCATTTTCTTTGTGTAAAAATAGACGATTGAAACTTTTTGACTAACAATATAGTCTATTTAGTATAACGTACAAGATGTAATAATTAATTCAGTATTAAGCTAAAATTTAATTCGCTCACCGTTTATTTTTAAACATAGTCACAACTGTTTATGTAATTAATTTTCTATTTATAATCGGCAATATGTGGCAGTCACGAATAACAGTATTTTGTGTAAATATAAGTTTAGCCAACCACCGTTGCATTAATTGTATTTATAAAATTTATTGAGAAATAAATGCAAGAAAAATATGATAATGTTTGTTTATGTTGGTGTGTGTAAATTGACAAAAAGTTTGTATAATAATAAATTTTGTGGCCTGCCGGTCATTGATTCGAAAATTAAATATATTTTGATATAATTATTCTAAGATGTCGCTTATCATTGTCTACCAGATTAAATCGAAGTCTTCTGTCGAGAGTGCCGTGTACATTCAGACCATAACATTAGCAAACATTGTTTCTAGTCATGTGCCTGTGAACACATATTTTACGCCCGAGTCACAAATTGGAAGCATATGCGGAGAGTACAACAGTTGACTGTATGCATATCACGTTATAAAACATGTCCTTTCCTTTAATTCGATCGATAATTGATTTTCCAGCCTGGGCAAAGGACCTGATATTTTCATATGAAAAGTTTTTTTATTTGTTATCGGCAGAAATTAATCGACTAATACGTGAGTGGAAATAATATTCCCACGGGCATAATTTTATATATGCTGGCATAAATATTCATCCCCTATACGAACGTTACAATTTATTTCATCTTAAAATGCTCCGATTGTGAAAACATCTTACGCGACGGTAAGTATTGAACAAAAGCATCAAAATAAAAACCCTCAATTATCCAATCTAGAAAATATTGTGTCGGAAAACAACTATACAAAATAGTGTATCCTGATCGGAAAAATGGATAACTACCAATATTAACATTATTTCTGCTAAAGGCTAAGAAACCGATAGCCAAAATAACAAAAAAGTTGGAAGAACCGTTATGTTATGGATATTGACAATGGCTATGTTTAAAATTTGTAATCATGCACAACGTTTAGAAATTAATGAGTTTAGAGGACGGATAGCTGTCACAAACAGCAATAAATAATAGTATGGAGAAACTAGTAGTGTGACATGTGAGATGGAAAGAGAGAAACTTCGTAAGGAATTATATATGATACAGTAAGTAGATGACATATATAACGCAGACGAAATTCGTTTATATGGGAAATGGGAGTACGTACACCATATTAATGTATCTTCACTTAGACAAATAAACTTTTTCTACATTAAGCCTGAATTACGGCTTTTTCACTCTGTTAAGTTAAATGCAGAAATGGATTTATTCATAATTAATTAAAAATCGAGGGAGTGGTCCTAAAAGTCGATAATAGTTGAATATGAATGCACTTATAAGTGTCTTGTTGATAGACCAATTCTTGCTCCTACCAATACCACATGCTGGATGACAAGGACTCAAGATGCTACACAAGCCTTATGAAGGCAGGTATTTTCATTATCTAACAATTTATATCAAACAACACATCATCCTCTGTCCCATCTATTTTGACTGAGGTTTTTATTTTGAAGTCTTCATTCAGCACACATGGGTGACCCTTGATTTGCTGTGTGCTTTCATCCATGTTGACTGAAACACCACAACACTAATATACTACACAGTAAAGTCGACTTTAACAAAGATGGCCTTATAATGAAGCTTTTTTATGGAACTGATCCATCCATATTAATATATGCTTGGCTCCTGGTTTAATGAAGATTGACTAAATTAGCATGATACACTGAAAATTTGTGCATAATAAAGTTTGATTTATTACAGTCAACTCTCTTTACAACGACCGCTGCGCTCTGCTTGTTTTCAAAAACGTTATATAAATTTATTATATGTACTACGCTGCATATAACGGCCGCTGCATATAACGACCGATTTTGCCCAGTCCGAGGCGGTCGTTATAAAGAGAGTTGACTGTATATTAAAGTTCATTTTATTAGATTTCAGACAATGTTAATATTATGTTATTATTATAGATACATATTGCAATTTACTTCACGCAGTTCAATAGTTAAAGTTGCTGAATTATAAATTACATCTACACCATACGATAATTTGCTTGATGTTGGTAGATTATTCTGGATAAATAATTTCTAACATTATTTTGTAAAGCAAGATAACTGCTAACTTTTGTCATAAAGCTCGGATAGCTACTTGCTAGCGATTCAATATTAAAACCAGATTGGTTCGAGCGAATGTAATTTTGCTCTATGCTCCAGCACCGTTACGAAAAAAATCGTTTGCTTCAAAGTCTCCATCATAACTTGTACTAACCTAAGGGTCGCTTTTCGGGGAGCGCTTGCTGGACGGGGGGGGTGAGGGAACTTTAAACCTTGACGCAAAGCAGGCTGAGACAGCATCAGAAAGCCGAGAAAAAAGAACAAGTTTTGTGACGCGTTTTTGTGCCAAAATTGATATCAATTTTTTTCATCACACAGTGCTTGGATGCGCATAGCAAACTCAAGACGGACGTAACTGTTAATGAGAGAGTCGACTTATTGAGAACTACATTTCGCATGCATATAGTCCTAATATGTTAAATCTTTTACTTATAATAATAAAGTAGTGGTTTCTAAATAAAGACTGTCCATTTATATTAATATTACCGGTCGTGTAAATATTGAATGAATTCTAAGGCAGCTTTAATAAATATCATAGCTTATTTGTTATTATTATACAGAGTTCTGTTTGTGTCGACTTATTTTTAAATACTGTATAATAATAAGATCGCTTATCATGCGCTTGTACTACATTAAGATTACTTAAACTGGCTCTTGCCATGTCTTTGCCACCACTGTCATTATTATATATATTTAACATAATCATGAGTAATAATTTGTAGTCTCTACCATGGAGCCATTACATATACTTGGTACACTTGCGGCTGCTGTCACCGGCGTAAGTTTAGGCTGTCCGCAAGCGATCTCTACCTGTTAGATTTCTAGTTGCGCGCTTGAATTCTTGTGTTCTTGAATTGTCGTTCTTCACCCAAGTCGTTAAATCACTACTCATTCTCCGAGTCAACCGTAACTTTTTCTCTCTTGTTTTACGTTATATGATTTTTTAGGTGGTTGTTTTACTAATAGTAATAGCACCTAGACCTCGAAAACTGACAGAATCTGAAAAGCACTATCGTTCAGCTACCTCTAATGTGCCTCAACGTCTTTGCAGTATATTTGATGAGGCAAATACGGATCTTACAATTATCATTCCAGCATACAACGAGAAACTACGTTTGCCGGTAATGTTGGATGAGGCCATTATGTATCTCGAGGAACGAAAGTCTAAAAACAAGAAATTTACATACGAGATATTGATCGTGGATGATGCGAGTACGGATGGTACATCAGAAGTCGCACTAGATTTTGGTAGAAAATATAATCATATAGATCTGAAAGTCTTGAGGTTAGAGAAGAATAGACGAAAGGGTGGAGCAATTACTCAGGTGAAAAATGTGTGTTTTTTTCAAGTTGATCTAGCTTGCATGTTAACCGTGTTCTTTATCTCTCTCTTTTTCTCACTCTCACATCAGGGAATACTATCCTGCAGTGGTAATTATATACTATTTGCTGACGCGGATGGGGCAACAAAGTTTTCAGACTTGCGTGATTTGGAAAACGAACTGAAGAAAATAGAACGAGATGGCTATGGAGTTGCTGTTGGGTCTCGCGCACATCTAGTGAACACTGACGTTGTGGTAAAGGTAGACCGAATCGTGACAAATGACTTCTACCATGGTTTTAGTCTTCTTCTTGACTTATAATATTTGTGCTTGTTTACAGAGATCGTTTATCCGTAATTTTCTCATGCACTCGTTCCATAAAGTACTCTTTATACTCGGGATACGTTCCATAGCTGATACACAATGTGGATTCAAACTATTTACTCGCAAATCGGCTCAGAAAATATTTCACAACATGCACGTGGAAGGATGGATATTTGATATCGAAGTTCTTCTGATCGCACAATATTTCAATATGCCCATAGTCGAGGTTCCTGTTAATTGGCATGAAGTCGATGGATCAAAAGTGTCATTGACGAAAGATTCAATTCAAATGGCAAAGGATTTGCTGGTTATTAGGTTAAGTTATTTATTAAGGTTATGGAAGATTCGAGACCCACTGGCAAGAGAGAAACAAGAATAGATTATCTCGGGCGCGTCTCTAATGTGAGCTGATCGGACTAATGTACATTTTATGTATCTGCAACCGTGTTACTTGGTGGAATAATGTTATTATACTGTTACCTCTAGCATAGTTTAATTTGCTGTACTGTAAATAGAATGAATACGGAGCGATGGTAAAATATGAGTATATTGAGCTCAGTATGTAAAAAATCAGATTCATGTGGAACAATAAAGAGCAAGTGAGTCTTGTTCGCTCGCTAGCTATCGTCGATCCTTCCTACACGTATGTTGAACGCACTTAAGATCATATCCCACTTTCGTGACACGATTTGAATTCCGGTACTAATAGGGTTCGATTCTTACCCACTTACTTTGACTCGGGTTTACGACAATAGGTTTGACCCTCCCAGAGTGATTTGCCAGAGGAGAAAAGTCCCGAAAGGCAACATTTGGAGGGATCAGTGTTCGGGACTTGTCGGTTTATTTTCAGATCGACGATGGGTATGACAGTCACGGTAGGGATATTCATTCCAATCAGGCGCTGGCTTCTATCTTCCCTTGGATTATGCCTAGAACCATTGACGTCCCTATCAGGGTAGTCGCCAGATTCTTGTTAGTTTCCCTTTTTTTATTTTACAAAGGGTAAGCTTTATTCTATAGTGGTAATTTCGAGCACTTGCCAAATATAGTGCAGTATCATTCGTTAACAGGGTTAGCGTTAGCAACACCTTTCTATAATTGTTCATGACGTTTCTTTGTGTCACAAATATTGTACACGATACGAAATTGAATAATAATAATAATAATATCAACAATAGCGAAACCGGCATAATCATTATTGAGGAGAATTATGTCGTCGTACTAAACTTTTGTGGGCAAACAGCATTTCCTAATCAGACACTTCAATGAAAAAAACATGTTGTCACCAGTCCGAAATGTAAAGGTGACATGGGCACATCCGTTTGAGTAACCAGCTTACTATAATGAGCGCAACAAAGTTATCTGAGCCATATGAGAGAATAACAAGACAAGACTAATAATATGATGCGCATATCCGGTGAAAGTCAGTGGAACGTCATTAAAGTTCTTTATAAATTGCCATCTTACATGCGTATGTACTGCAAGCAAAATATATTTTTTCATTTCTACCCAACCATACACACAACTTTAACATTTACCATTCCCCCATATAAATGTTGATCGTTCCGTATTCGCATTATCTCTCTTTCCTCTTCATCACAGGCGAAAGACAAAATAATGGTCAAGAGAATTTCCTAAACGCTGTCATTACTTGTTCATAAACAGTAAAGATGATCCCCCCCGAAAACTAAACAATAACAAAGTTGGTCAATCAATAATGGAGCGGTAAATACGGATCTGATTTTACTCCATTACTTTTTCCAATAAAACTTACCAACAATCTACTCAAACGCGGCGTAGCACCCTTCCACAATGACAATACACCTTCATTTCTCACGACAGTCCAAAAACAGTGAAACGAGTTTTTATACAGAGTCTTTGCGTGCAATCCTTGCATCTTTGTCTTCACCACGTCCAATGGCATGGTCGTGTACACGGTCACTGTCCCGGCAACAGCGCCAATGGCAAAGGTCACACTCCACGGCAACGGCTGACCAGGGGTTGTCCATTTCTGGAGCTCTTGCTTGAGAGTGGAATATGTTGAAAAACGAACTGCTTGATTAGCACCCTGACGCATCATCACGGGAAACAGTCCTCGGTATACACCGCCAAAACCCTCTTGTCGGACGATTGTAGTCACTCCTGTTTGATAAGAGTTTGATGATCCCATTAGAAAAACATATTTGGAGAAGAAAGATTAAAATTTAAAGATGAAAACTTTTCTTATACCATGAACCAAGCCTTTATATTTTGGAACTTCTCTTTGTGAATCGTGAATAAGTTTCGTTCTATGTTTTGTAAACAAGGCAACCGAATGAGTACGCAATGCTTGCTGATACAAACGTGCATGATGCGAGCCACGCACTTTATTGTTTCGGTAGGAGTTACCACTAAAATAGCCTCTGTCATTCCAGCTCCCAAACCAGCTTTTGAAACAGAAATTGTCATTAGTTATACTAGTTCAAAATGCCACAAACAGATATTCTCAATGCTCCAATTCCCCCTACAAATAACGTCTCTCTCGTACACACATACCTATCATCGATTTAGGTCCACTAACATGGCCATTCTCGTCTGCCAATAACTTTTTGATCTCTTCGTACGTCAAGAACCTGATACCTGCTTTAGCAGCTGTGCCTATAACCAAAGCGGATAACCCACGATAAAGAGCAAAAAACCCTTGTTCGCGAACTGTCCTTGTCAGACAGTCTAGAGGACCTTTATATTTCTAATTAACAGGAGGGGAACTAACTTTAAAAAGAAGGAACAACAGAAAAAAAAAAAAAAAAGACATTGCATGACAATGATATTCTATATGAAATAGATCAGTGCAATCGATAAATTGGTACTTGCATTTGTTTGGTCTTGTAATTGCAGTTGTGTCTTTATGAATTCTGTAGGATACTATAAAGATAATAGTCAGGGAATAGCGTACGTTGGGGAAAAGGAGAAAACAAAAGAAACCATTCAATCACGCACTGTTATAGTTGCTTCAACACCACCGGCCACCAAGCCAGCCAAAAGTGAGTGCAACGGGTGGTCCTGAAATTTGTTGGCCTGAATTAGTTAATGTTATCGGACAATTTTAAATTTCAGCGTTGTGCCCAGGCATTATTCGCTACCTTCTTCTTCTCAGACATTTCTATCTTCTATTATAAGCACAGCTACTATTTGCAGACAAGCTTAATTATCGGTAGAAGGTGTTCTATTGAACGTTTCTATTACTGTTACTCAATAAAATCCCAAATACGTCCTGATGATAAATACCCAATTTGACATACACAACCGGGGCTGTGTAATGTCACGGTTTAAACCGTCCTATTAGAATCGCAGGATAATAATAACAACCATGACGATCTTGTAAATAGTGACCATGGGGTATATCGCGTATCTGCGTGGAAATCAAGGTAATAATAAGAATGTAACAATTCTTTCTATGCTAAAAATAAATCGATTTGTTTGCCGTCATTGGATCATAAGTTTAAATTCCATAAACATTCAATTAAGTCGCTAGACAATAGTCCCGGCTTCGGATACCAGGGAGAATTCTCTTGCTCAAGTCGGAAGACTCACGTGTACATTGACTTGATTAACTATACCGCATAATGCTTCTTTGCTTGCCACATTCTTTACATGGATCACTAGACCATATTTATGTTTAAAACACAAGTATATTCCCAGCTTTATTTAAAAAAACCGCCTCGGCGAAGTGGTCACTCGTACTACCAAATATTGCCTACTATGCTAATTATCATATGCTTTTGGAAGAAAGAAAAAAAAAAAAAGAATAAAAAAAAAAGGAAAATGGAAATGTTCAAAAAAAGACAAGTTTTTTTCTTCTCATTTTCGGGGTTATTTTTAACCCCCCCCCCCCTTTCAAAATATTATGTGTTACTATTTCCTGTATTTATTGTGAATTGAGGAAACCAACCACGAAATAATCAATCCAATATGAGTGTTCTTTAAAGCAATATACTACAGATTGAACAGATTTATTTACTGCGTACAGTTGGCTTGGCAAAAAAAGACAGCTATTTTAAAAGGCAAATTTTAATTGTTCACGAAATAAACAAACAGCAATTAATACTACTTCATCAGCAATGCAAATCAAATCATGTCGCGGATGGCTGTGCTGTAAGTGCTTGCGCTTTCCCTTCCAAGTCCGGTACTATATGACGCTTCAACTCCATTTGGTTGTCGAGAATGCCATCCTGAAAAATTGGCGATAAAACGTATTTACAGATCATGTGAGATTTGGGACATCCGGCAACTAAAAAAAGCAACATCTGATCGATACATACCATATCAGCTTTCCGTTTCCTATATGTCGTCGGCTCTTTCAACAACGATCCTATACTACTACTCTCACGTGACAGCTGTTGACTCTGAAAATAAAATCATTGAAAAAATTCGACGGGTAAATAACTAATCAAAAGAGTTCAATACTAGCTAATCTGCTCTCATCGACAACAAATAAACAAACCTTGGTAACATCGGCATGACAAGTAGCATGATAGATAACGCCATCTACCAGCACAGCATTCTTTAACAACCACTCTTCCTCAGCATCGGAATAGAAACTCTTAAACTTTTCCTGGCAAATCGGACAGGGTTTGTTGATTTTATCAATCGGAGCAACAACGGTCGACTCGGCGATGGTATCTTTTGCGTTCGTCGCAGCGCTGGAAGATTTCGTGGATGTCGTGCTATGGGCAGGGTTTGTTGCAGACGATGCACTAGTGTCATCTTCTCGTACGTGGATCCAATCCTGATACAGAAATGAAGGACGATTGTGTGTTATCATATGCGCAATGATCAGGTTGATGCAAAATAAATTTACTGATCTACCCAACTCTTTTTTCGTTTCAGCGCTACTTACTAACCTCCCTCACCCTCCCAAGATCCAAACGTTTAAACACCTACCTCTTTACTGACAAACCAAGCACGCGTCTGCGCTTTCTTGGCTTTCTCCTTCATTCGACGATTTTGTCGAAAGTGTCGATCCAGATGAGCATCCATTTTTGCCTTACCTTCCTCGGTTTTTGCATACCTAAACCCACATTGCTTACATTGTGAAGGATACGCATCATAAAGTATCGACATTGCTCCTTCTCGACGTCTGCAAATTGATATGATGTGTGCGTGAGTAACGGGCGGGGGAGAAATACATAATCAACCCAGCAAAAAAGACAATCACTATAAAAACACAGAGACACAAGCATTCACCAACCTCTGAAGCTCAGCGCTCGTCAACTCAATCTTCCCCAACTGATCAACATGAAGAATCTGTACGTCCGTGATCTGCGTTCCGCTTCCATTTCTACGGCTAGAAGTCTCTGAAGTCAATCTCAACGTGGTAACTCCAGGTGTTAGCAAATTGTTAGTATTTAACGTCCCATTCGGGTTCAATAAGCCATGTTCCATTAGATTTCTGATCAGAGTTGTCGGATCAGTGACACCACCAAGAGGTTGTAAGGGCATAGTGGGCTGCATCTGGGGAGGTGGCACTTGCGGCGGCGCAGGTTGCATTTGGACGGGTCTAGCGACATTAGCTAAATTAGCAATGTTTGCAATGTTCGCAATGTTTGCAGCAATATTCGGGATACCCGAAATGCTTCCAGTAAATGCCGGCTGTACGCCTGATGCAATATGCGGTTGTGGCGGTTGCGGCGGCGGCGGCGGTGGTGGCTGCTGTTGCTGAACAGTCGCACTACTACCAAACGCTGCCCTTTGGCCAGCAATCAAGGCGGCAAGATCAGATGCATTTGAAAGAGTTGTAAGAGTTGACATTGTTTGTTTATTGAAAGATGCAGAAACAAGAGGCGATGGCGATGGTGCGGTTGGGGCTGAATTAGGGTATGTACTGGAGATCTGGGAACGAAGAGTTGCTATTTGGTCTGGTGTGAGTGGCGTTTTTTGCATTATGTCAATGATCTAAGAAAAAAGGATAGGATATGGGAGAGACAAAGAAGTGTGTTTTTTTTCCCCCGCGAAACGAAAAGATTGTTAGGCAAAATGAAATAATGATATTTGAAAAGAAATCATCACATCGGGATAATTAATGTATTTTCGCACAGGCTTGTCCCAACCCTTCTCCCACTTCTCACCTGCTGCAAAGCAGAGATCTGACTATTGTTATTATTAATATCTCCCGGGTTTCCTGGGTTCATCAAGGCATATTGCTGCCTCTGGACAAGTAATGCTCTATACTCCTGAATCAACTGTGATTGATCACCAGAAGGAACAAATACCTGACTCTGTGGGACTCGCTGCGGACCTGTTGTTGTTGTTGGAAACTTTATGGATATGGGAAGAGAAGAACAGAGAAAAAAGAATGAATCAGAGTCTTGAGAATAAACCAGTAAGAAAACAACGGATATGACAAAAGTATGTTGTCTTTATGCAAGAGAGGGTGCGTGTAAGAGTGAGAGTAGAAGCATTGGGGGGAATGGGAGAGGAGTGGAGAGAAAACATAGGGGATGAATCGTAGATAAAGGAGAGAAAAGTGGGAATGGAAGAAGGGGTGAGAGTGAGAAAAGGTAAAAAGGAATAGGCATGGAGGAAGATGGGTTTTCTTTAGAGCGTGTTGACAGTATACAAAAAGGCATATGATTTGAAGGACATCTCTATTGCGGTGGTCATCGAGCTGGTGGATGGAGTGGTGCCAACCGTTGTGAAGTTTATGATGGTGCCTGCTACGATAATCTCCAGCGTGGAGAGACTGTCAATAATATTTGTATTCTTTTATAGACAAATGTAAGTTCTTTCTGTAACTATGCTATATATTCTTTGTTGTTAGCTGAGTCAGGCCTTTATTCGATTGCTTCCTCTTGTAGTAATAAGAATCCTACTATTCTTGTCTTCGTTTCTTTGCAGGTTAGATGTATCAATATTAATCTCCTTTCCCCTCCCTTTTCCCTTTTTTAAAGCCTTCCTTTTATCTTTACATTTTAGTTTTTCCTTTTTACTCTTTTTCCTTTGCTTTTTCTTTTTTTTTTCTTTTGCTTTTTTTTTTTTTTCGTTTTCTCTTTCTCTCTTTTCTGGCCCTTCTCATTTATTGTTTACAACCTTTCCATTTTGTTAACATCGAACTGCTTGTGTTATCAAGCTCTTTTTTTTTTTTGGAAGACGATCATTGTAACAATCCATAACGTATACTCAAGCACGAACATCCGAATAATCAAACACCAATAATCATAATCATCACAAGAAAAAAAAATAAACAGATAAGAACAGAAAAAAAGATACAAATGAAAAGAAGAACAGCGTTCATTGTGCCAAAAAAAAAGTGTTTCAATGAGAAAAGGAAGACAGAAATGCAGATACATCAGGTATTTATACAAAGTTTCCTTCGGTAGAAAGAAATCATTGTGACAAGATGAGACGGCCCAGCCCAGCAGAATGTGTCCTGCTCAGTCCATAATACCGTCTCTTCCCCTCTTCCTCCATATTACTTTTTGCTTGATTCTACACGTATGCAACACAGAAACCAATATCCATCTTTCCAGTACCATCCACAGTCTACCATCATCACACTCGCAAACGAAAATATATCGGACGGTGCAAATACGTAACAAACATAGCAATCGTGGTAAGAGAATACGGATGCAATAATTTAACAAAGCTTACCTGTTGGGTAGGGAAATATCCTTGTCGACTGGGTGGTTTGGAATATGAAGGAAGGGCAAAATGCGTCGGCGGAACTGATGGCTGTTGAGCATTTGGTACCTGTGTTGTTTGTTGTGGTGTGGATAATGGTTGAGGTTGCGGTTGTTGCGGTTGCGGTTGCTGTGGTTGTTGTGGTGGTTGTTGTTGCTGCTGCTGTGATGGCTGCGGTTGTTGCGGCTGCGCTTGAGGTGGTTGCTGCGGTGGTGGTTGCTGTTGTGGTGGTTGATATGGCGGCAGCGTATTTTGGTTCTGGAAAAGTAAATGATATGACAAAAATGAATAGATACACAAGTGGACGGGATAGATTAGAAATCATTACGAGTTTACGTAATTCACTTTAGCAATTTGTGTTAATTAGGGAATGTGTGACAGAGATAAGCGCACATCCGATGTGGCAATGTTTCACCATCAACAAGAGAATGTATCCGCAATATACATTCTTTTTCCTCTTTCAACAAGTTTCGTCGGGCCATCGATTATCCATGCACTGCGCCCACCACACCTCCATCGCAATCCAAGTGTGAATACTTACTCTGCCAGCCAAAAAGTTGGGATTGATATGTATACCAGACCTTCCACTATCAATTGTCCTTGGATGTTGCCTCGATAAAGATCGCTCTATCAAAGATGTAATCTCCTGTGGAAACACTGGGTTTCCATTAAGTCCTTGTTTCCAAGTAGATAGAACCTTCTCTAATTTTTGTTTTGTGGCTTGATCGACTACATTGTAAGCATCAAGAAATGTACGAGCTAAATTATGTGAGAATATTTGGATATATATCCCTCCAACGTTTTTGCTTATCGAGTCTAGGAGGTAGAGAACTGGTAGTTTGAGCTCGGGAGCCGCCTATACATAAGAAGGGGTTAGGAGAAAGAGTGTAATGAAAAGCCAAGAGGGTGAGCACATATTGATAACAAGGTAGCTTCTTGAAAAGCCTTTTCGTTTTGCTATCTCATTAAATGGTATTGATGGCATCCGTTGCTGAGCCGCCTACTTACGTTCCGTATTCGGTCTTCTATAGCTTGTACTATGGCATTTGCAGCTTTTATGTTCTCTTGCGCTATAATAGTCAAGTGAGTGATCATCGGCTTGGAGTTCCAAGTGAGGTCTGCCAAAGAGGCCCTATAGTCCTGTCGAACACTTTCTAAATCTATGTCTGAACTGTTCATCGTGTTAGTATGTCTATGTTTATACAACCTAGTTAGTTTCGCCGTCTTTGAGTATGTATATTATATAAATTTTGAAGAGTTTTTGTGTTAGTAATAAACGAAAAGCGTTTCAAACTCGAATGAGTAAAAAAAAGAATAGCCAAATATCATGTGATATGTGGCGTTGAATGGAACATTGTTTAAACGCCACAAAATATATTTAATTTTGGGGAGGGTTAGATAAAAGTGCCACTTTGTCCCCCCATATTCCCACACGCTTGGGGGGGGGGGGAGAGTGGGGAGGCCACATATTAATTAATTAAATTGAAAGTACCAATGATATTTTGAACGATAAAGGTAAAAGGATTCCAACAATTTTCATTTGTAAAGTGTAGCGAAAAGTATGCAGCCATACATGTTAAAAGAAAAGAAAATGTTGGCATTCATATGAGATATGACGATATACTGTCATTTGTAAATTGAATTAACTCCAACGAGTAAAATAGCTCATCAACCGTTATTTAGTGATCATCTGATTATATTCGATATATACTAGCAAAGAGGTTGCGTATAAAGAGAGAATGCTCATCGTAAAAATATCATCTCCTATTAATGAGAGAAACATTTACATGCTAGCACTAATGCAATTAGCATATTAGCCGGTTTTGCCTGTGCGGGTTTTGTATGAAAACCAAATCAGTGACACCGGTGACACGCATGTGTTGTGATCTACGTTGAAATGACCTTTTGTGTATGCTTTATTTGTACATATAGCAACGTCATCTAACATATGATTGTCATTGCAATTACGCGGCATGTTTAACAAGGAGCTCGTCAAATTATAAAGAGGCTAATAAAGGGGACATACTTGCAAACAAAGTGAAGATACGCCACGGAGCATTTCAGGAGATTTTAAACTGCGTTTGTATTTACCAATTGATAAAGTTTCGCTTTTCGTAATTAACTGGCGGAGTTGCTGAAACATGGGATGAATGCACAGTCAAGGTACGAAAACGAAAATGTCGGCAACAAAAAACCAGGAAATTAATATCTATTTCAGGAGTGTTAGTCTAGTTGAGCCGTAAATGGTAAATGGTAAATGCTAATGGGTAATTCGGCCTAAACAGGTAAAGGTAAAAGTAAAAGTAAAAGTAGTAAAGGCCTGATTATAATGACTTTACCGGTCCATACGTAGCAATGTGAATAAGGTTCAATGTTCACCTCCCTATAAATATTTCGTCATGTCTGAAACTGGCGAGAAGATTCTGATCATGCTAATCGTAAAGAATTCGAACGTTCTTTTTCACCGTTTAGGTGTTACAAAAATTGGTTTGTGCATCAGATTGTGTCACGAATCTCTAGAAAGAAAACTTTGTTTGAATAAAGAAAGCATATTTCGTCTTGCATCAAAGAAACAATTTATTCGAAACAATAAAACTATTTGTAACGTATCAAAGCCTTCTGACCCGATGCTTGTTAGGTCACAGAATTTATTAATTGCACTGTTCAACAATCCTATCAAAACGCACGTATACATTTGAGCAGATATACAACTGTCGTTTTAATATAATGCTTACAACCACTCGTCTTGAAACAATTATTGAGCAGTACGAGAAATTGAGTATTACAGAACGTCTTAAGAGGATAATTTTCATATAACCAAACCAAGTGCTCACTCAAACGCATCGATTACGATATTTTATAACTACTTTATAAGAGACGTTTATTAGTAAACTCAACGCTAGAGGCTGACCTTTGAAGATGTAGAAAAAATACTAATTGTATGTAGCGCATATTTTGTAACGCGGCATTCTCTAGGCACAATTATACGAAACAACTGGTACAATAGAACGTATCTAGCTTATCTTATTCTTTTACCTTGAGGGTTTATATAATAATTAAAGTTACAAAGACACAGATAAGCTTAATCACTATCTAGCGTTATTTGCAAATTTATGACTGAAGCCAAATTTAAATTAGAAAAAAGTCTTGTCTGAATAAAGCATAAAAGCAGTATCAGAGGAATCGAACTGTTGCAAATGGAAATACAGTTGAACCCCGTTATACAGAAATGCGCTATAGGAATTTTGTTATATCGGCAGGCATCTCTCTCCTCCATTTATTTTAATATTTAAATTTAGTCGCTATCACAAAGTTTGATAGTAACCTTCTGAATTGCAAGATTTTGTATACGTTACTAGTCGAATTTAACCACGTGATTGCAAATTAGAAAATCATGATTGGTCGTAACAGTATTTGCAGACTACTCTAATAAATCAAATTTTTACGTAAATATAAACCCCAGATATTTACTTATTTAGCAGTGACACTGCGCAAACAGTCAAATCACTGGTATTGTTTTCTATAATACTAAACAATTCTTCAGCAAATTCCATTTTTAAAAAATTTCTTTGGCTAGTATGTCCAAAATTATGGTTTGTTGAAGCTGTTACTACTACTTCTTACCAAGCCTCTTATTAGCTCCAAATACTAATACGTGCTTACTTATGATATCAATATGATGTTCACACAGAACCAGAAGAAACTGTTTTAGAAGTTTTATTGTTGTTTATCCAAAGGATTTTGTTACCCACTGTACCAAATCCACCATTGCTCCAGTATTTTCAATCTGGTTATAGATTATACTCAAGTTTCAAAGAAGTCCAGGGACTCCGAAGCATCTGTCAAAGCTGTTGCTCCTGCATATCCAATTTTATTGTATCCAAGGTTCAAAGAAGTCAAAGTAAATATAAAAGGTAAATTTGATTTTAGTAATTCTGCCAAGGTCTTGCTCCTTCAGATCTGCCACAACTTATTATTATTGCTCCTGTCAAAGCTGTTGCTCCTGTATCTCCAATTTGGTTCTACTGAAGATTCGAAAAAGTCAGATTTAAAAATTCAGTTGTTCTTATTACTATTACTACTGTATACTGTGATGACGCAAGCCTATACGATGACGTATTCCTTCCTAAATTTCTGTGGAACCATTTGTACCACCGGGGATCGGCGACAGAAATGTAACAGTGGTACCAAGAATAATAGTAGTACTAGCAGCGGAGTGTAGTACTAGCAGCGGAATGTAGAACAAGCAGCGGAGCGTGGCACTAGCAGCGCATTAGCAGCGCATTAGAAGCGCATTAGCAGCGCATTAACATCGCAATAGCAGCAAAATGTAATAGTCAAGGAGAGAATAGTGATGAACGTAGGAAATAATTAGAAATTAACAATTAGTAATCCGATGCTAAAAATAGATCAATTAGTCCGTCCAAAAGATATAAAAGCAACGTAGGATAGACCTAGCATCGGTGTGTTCAAAGTGATCAAGTTAGTGTTCGCAAGATATTTCTTATCGAAGACGTTCGATACCCCTTTCTATATTTTATTTCTTGTTAATAAACGAATACTCATTTATTCTGAAACGATAATTTTTTTCCTAGAATTTTCCGTTATATCTGTAAAGCATTAATCCGTATAACGGCAAGATCGGTTGTAATACTTGTCTCGCAATCGATCGAGTGGCATTAAGATAATTAATTATTATTTCGTAGCGCGCATTATTTCTTAATAAGACCCCAATCTACAGACTACCGAATTAATCCATCGGTAGAGAGTAGTTTTTGTTCTCGAGAGTAGTTAATTATCTAGGATTAGTGTGTGTGAAGCGTATAAGAATACGTTAGCATTAGAAAAGCCTAACCTAAAGATCACTAACTGTTTGTTAAGGTTTAGCTATTGCTGAGGTGAGCCACACTCCTACGACGGCGCAGCTAGATCCCAAACCGAGACAGTAGTTATCCGCTCTCCCGTGAATATTGCCTCGACAATATTTCCAATCTGATTCCAATGAAGTCAGGAAAGAATTTGATTCTAATACTAATACTAAAACTGTGCTAAGCTGTTGCTTCTGCGTCTACAATTTTTATTATGTCCACAATTCAACAAAGTCAGGGAAGAGTTTAATACTGAAGCTTTTGCTGAAAAGTCAGGAAATAATTTGTTTCCAAAGCTTTTGCCAAAAACTGCTATTTTTGTCATATTCAGTATTAGTATGCTTATTACTATTTGATAATGTTTGCTTAAATATTTTATTCCATATTCTAAATACAATTGTGTTATTTAATTTGATCTTTTACTCTAACAATTTGTTGAGATTTCTTAATGCACTATTACTTTTATATTTATGCTGATTAAGCAATAATATTAATATTAAATATAGCAGGCACTGCTAATAGTAATTGTTTCAAAGTTAATATGTCATTTATGTTTAGTATTAGTTCACGTTGCAAAAATTATTAAGATGTTTTAAAGCATTCTTATTGATTGAGCATCAAATTTCATAATTTTCAATTCAAGGCTGATATAGATACTGTTACGGCGAGCTGATCGGCTGACGTCGATAAGCAAGTCATATGGTAAAAATTTTTTCGCAGTAATCAAACAACACCTTGACGATCAATTAATTAGATGTTACTCAAAGCAAACGCGAGTAACGAAATTTGGTGACAATTTTGAACACAAATTGTATCTAAGAATAGAAAGTAGCGCAATTTTGGTGACAGCGTGGGAAAGATAGAAAATACGCGCTCTGTGGCGTAGAAAAATAACACGATTTTAGTGACAGCAAAATGTATATAAGGAGCCCGCCCCGACCGTCAAAAATCCTCATGTTTTGTTGTTGTACGTTTAATGAAAATCAATAATATTTGATACTGAAGTATTCGGATATATAGACGATTGATCTAATCTTTATCCTTTAATTATTACGAAACCTTTTTACTTTCATTATTTCTATTTCTATCGTCGTAAAAACTAAGCTTTTTGACTTAACTATCGGCAGTAGATCTGTAACGACCCGTAGTTGCGGTAAAGTAAGAGTATCTCGATTGATAATTTAAATTCTTTGTTGTTATAATTAGATAAGTAACATTCCTTGACTAGTCAAAACAGTAAATCGAAGTTCGCCCTTGTTTAAAATTAGTATTAAAATTTCCCCTTCGATTCTGCGGTAGATAAATTGTTGC